GGGGCTACAGGGAGACCCTGTCTAAAAAGACAAAAAGACGAAAAAAAAAAAAGAAAGTTCCATTGTAGGGGCTGGTTGTTAACAGTGGCTGCTCCTCTTACAGAGGACCTGAGTTCAATTCCTAGTACCCACATCAAGCAGCTCACAACCACCTATAACCCTAGCTCCAAAGATGGCTCAGCAGTTAAGAACACTTGCTATTCTTCCAGAGGACCCAGGTTGGATTCCCAGCACCACACGGCACCTAACAACTGCCTATAACTCCAGTTCCAGGGGTTCTGACGGCCTCTTCTGGCCTCCACAGGCTTTGCATGACACGGGACATTTACATGCAGGCAATACATTCATACACATAAATAAAACAATATTTTTTTAAAGTTTTCATTGTTTCACATATTTACTTATATTTACTCACTCTTTAAGCCATTTTCAGTGGTTATATAACAGGATCATCTTGTAATTTTACTTTGCACTTCATAATTACTAATGAAATTAATAACTATGTATCTTTTCTTGCATTTATTGGCTATTTGGATTTCTTCTTTTGTGAATTGCCTCTTAAAACTGCTGGAGACTACATAGTGAGTTCCAGGACAGCTGGGGCTACAAGGAAATCCTGTTTCAAAAAGACCACCCCCCCAAAAAAAAAACTGCTGGAGAGATGGTTCAGCAGTTAAGAGCCGTGGCTGCTCTTGCACAGAACCTGGGTTCGTTTCCCTGCCTCCACATAGCAGATAACAATCACCCATAATTCCAGTTCCAGGGGGGTTCTAACACCCTCTTCTGGCCTCCCCAGGCATAGTACAACATACCTGTACTTACATACAGACAAAACACTCATACACATAAAATAAAAATAAATCTTAGAAAGAGAAATTGCCTCTAGCTATTTTTCCATCACACTACATTTTTATTGTATTTATTTATTTACAAGTTTTCCTTAAATGTTCTGAATCCAGAGCCCTTTGTCTTGTGTGCCACAATCATCTTGTATTTCATGGCTTGCTTTTTCACCCTTTGTTGCATGTCTTCTGATGACTAGAAATTCTTAATTTGTTGTTGTTGTTTTGTGAGGCAGGGTCTCACTATATAGCTGGCCTGGAACTTGCTATGTAGACAAGGCTGGCCTCAAACAGAGAGATATACCTGCCCCTACCTCCCAAGTATTGGCATTAAAGGCAGGTGCCATCAAACTCAGTGTAGAAAATTTTTAAAGTAGTTAAATTATACTGGGTGTGGTGGTGCACATCTTTTTAGTCCCAGCACTTGGGAGGCAGAGGCAGCTGGATTTCTATGAGTTCCAGGCCAGCCTGCTCTACATAGCAAGTTCCAGGCCAGCTGGGGCTACAGGGAGACCCTGCCTCAAAAGACCAAAGGGGCGGGGAAAGCAGCCAAATTAGTAATCTTATTCTGTACATCTTCCCTATCGAGGACTACTTAATGAGAAGAATTTTTTTTTTGCTCTACAGTGCAATATTGTCCATAAATCAAGTTCTATCAATTTCTTTTAGTGCTCTTTTTCCTTCCACTAAGTCTATCTTGGTCTCAGTGTTCCTTGCTCAATTAAGGGCATCCTTTACCCATTAATCACTCAGGCAGGAAATCTGGAGACAACTGAATACCCAGTTGATTCAGTGACTTACATTTTTCTCACATTCATATATTTTCTCTACTTCTAATAATCTCCTACATCTGGATAATGGAAAAAAACCACTTAACTGGTCTTTCAACTGCCAACAGTGCCATCTTTTAACAACTTTTGATTTTTTAAAAAAGATTTACTTTTATTCTCATGTTGGTATGAGGGTATATCATGAGTGGGGGGAACCCAATGACACCACTGGATCACACAGAGCTGGAATGACAGGGAGTTGTGAGCCCCTGGCATGGTCCTGGGAACCAAACTCAGGTCTTCTGCAGAAACAGCAGTGCTCTTAATGGTTGAGCCATTTCTCCAGCCCCAATTTTTAATATTTTTAATCAGATAATTATATTTTCATGGCAAAAAAGTGGCAAGTTGAAAAGAAGCAAAAGCTTTTTTGTTCTTTCTCAAGATTTATTTTGCTGTGTGTGTGTGTGTGTAGGGGTTGCATCCTTTGAAGACAGAGTTACAGGCCTTTGTAAGCCTCTCAATGTTGGTGCTGGGATCTGAACTCTGGTCCTTATGACTGGGAACCAACTGCTTTATTTATTTTTTTAAAATTTTTTATGTGTATGCGTGTATTGCCTGTGCATAGGTAAGTGCACCCGTGTGGTGCAATGCCCACAGAGAACAGAAGAGGATCCCCTGGACCTGGAATTATAGAGTTGTTAGCTGCCATGTGGCTGCTGGGATTCAAACCCGGGTCTTCTGCAAGAACAACCAGTGTTCTTAACCACTGAGCCACCTCTCCAGCCTTGAACCAACTGCTTTTAACCACTGAGCCATCTCTCCAAACCTCAGAAAGCTTTCTTTTACCTTTCTTTTTTGTAGGAATGACTTCTACAAAGTGGACAGAATCTGAACTAATGACTTTTATTTAACCTTGCAACTGAAAAGCTACTATTTATTTTAAAATATTTATTTTATTTTTAAAATGTTATGTGTATGAGTGTATTGCCTGCATGTATATAAATGCACATGTGTCGTACAATGCCAGTGGAGGTCAGATGAGGGCATTGGATCCCCTGGAACTGGAGTTATGAATGGTTGTTAGCTGCCATGTGGGTAGTAGAAATCAAACCTAGGTCCTCTTACTCAACAATCCAAAAGTGGTAATTCCCCAACTAAGGTTCCTTCTTTCCAGATTTAAGTTGACAACTGAAGCACAATATATATGTAAAATTGGCACTATAACATTAGGAGACTTACAGGCCAAAAATCACAACCAGTACATACATCTTAGGTTAAAAAAAAATCCAAGCCAGGGTATATTAATATCTTAAGTCAGTATACAACTTATAGCTCTCCCATGACTTGTTTAATCCCCCTATCCAAATTCAATTAGCACTTGATAATTTAAAAATAAAGATTATAAAGACCTGTACTTTTGATTTCCTAAACATATCATTCTATTTGACTCTTACAGAGTTGTTTCTCCCTGCTTGAAATGAAGGACCTTTCTAGTATCATTTAATGGGCTAACTCTGAAAACAAAATCTTACTTACATTACTAGCTTAGAAGGTAACACCCAGGCATCCTGAGCATATACTTGATATAGCCCTTAAAATTTCAGGTTGCTGGGGCTGGAGAGATGGTTCAGTGGTTAAGAACACTGGCTGTTCTTGCAGAAGACCTGCGTTTGAATCCCAGCACCCACATGACACTAACAACTGTCTGTAAATCCAGTTCCAGGGGATCCAATAGCCTCTTCTGTCCTCCGTGGGCATTGCACAACACGGGTGTACTTACCTACATGCAGGCAATACACACATACACATAAAATAAAAATAAATATTTTTTAAAGAAAAGATTTCAGGTTGTCAGTTAAATCACATCATCATCATTATTATTATTATTATTATTATTATTATTGGTCTTTTTGAGACAGGGTCTCCCTGTAGCCCCAGCTGGCCTGGAACTCACTATGTAGACCAGGCAGTCCTTTAACTCACAGAGATCTGCCTGCCTCTGCCTCCAAAGTGCTGGGACTACAGGCGTGCACCACCATACTTGGCTCTTACTTTTTATTTTAATGAGGAAACAGAAGTAATTAGAAAATACCTTCAATAAGCTCTCAATACCCTGTAATATCTGTGCACATCCCCCATTTCCTGTCTATTACTATGGAAGAACTGAGTTCCTGGCTAGGGCCAATCTTCTACTTATTTACTAGATCCCATCTCCTCTTAGTCACAGGACACTGGTAGCCCTTTCTTTCTTTCTTTCTTTTTTAACAACCAAAATTTCTCTCTACATTGAATCACATACCCTGAATTTCATTTCTGCTTTTTTTTCTTTTGAGGACCCAAGGATGCTAACTCAGGGTCTTACACATACTGGGCTGGGCTCTACCTGAGCTCTACCCCCTTGCTTTCATTCCTGCTCCTAAAGGAATGATCTATTTTCTTTTTTACTTCTTGACTCCCTTGCCAAGCTTAGCCCCTAATATTTTTCATCAAAATAACTAATGAACATTATTAACACTGACACAATAATGCTATATCCTGACAACAGTTCTCAGGCTTCACTTGACAGCTATGTCTATAGCATTTGGCCCAGGAAATCATTGTTACCTGAAATGTTTGCTTCTTTTTAATGTTGGCTCCAGGACACCAGCCTTTCTCAGTTTTCTTCTTTTCTTTTTGCTTTCTCCCTGTTCCCTTGACAGGAATGTTCCATAGTTCAGTCACTGTGCCTTTAATCCTTTCTGTTTATGCTCATTCCCCAGGTATCTAGATACACAGCTTTAAAACTTTTTATATGCTGAAAGTCCAGTGTTTATGTCTTCTGCCCTTACTTCCATGAAATCAGAACAAACAAGACAAGGGCTAGAAAAATTGGAGGTGGTGCCTAGAGAGCATAAAGAAAATTCAAACTATAGAGGCAAAGTCTAAAATAAAAGGTCTAAGGTACAAAAGAAGGGTAACTTGCTGCAAGTGAAGAGCAGAAAGAACCTGAAAGGACCTAAACTGAACAGTTCAGAATGTATGAGTTACTGATACCATCAATAACAAAGGAGTAGAACTGAAGAGAATAATCAATCAAGGACGACACTTTTTTTTTTATGAACTGAAAAGACAATTTCAGATCCACCAGAGAAGTGAGGCTATAAAACAAGCCAGTGTTCCTCAATGAAGACAAAGAAGAAGATGCAGGAAATGTGAATTTACAGATCAGAAATACCTACACAGAAACCTCCAGGGAAGTAGTGCCAGAGTAGAAAGGTCTAAACTGTAATTGATGACTTGTTGGAGGCTTAGTATAGACTATGGTAAGAGTTAAAAACTGCAACATAACCTAACTTTAAAAAAAAAATTCGGTTGTTGGGGTTCGATGTGGCCTGAGGCCTTGATTTAGCGGAGATGCTTCAAAGCTTAAATAAGAATGCCTGGATCCCCTTGAAGCCCTACTATACCCAGGTTTACCAGGAAATTTGGGTAGGAGTGGGGTTGATGTCTTTCACTGTTTCTAAAATCAGGAGTGCTAATAAAAAAAGTAAAGCTTTGAAAGGTGCTACACCTGCTCATGGTCATGGTCATCATTAGCCCGCTCCCTGAGTACACTCAAGATGAATCCTCAGTCAGCCTGTAAATTTAAGCAAGCTGTGTTAGTTGGGAACATGGAACTTCACTATATACTTGCCTAAGTACCATTTATTATGTGGCATCCATAAATGTATCTGTGAGATGCATCACTAAAAAAAAAATTATCCATAGAGATTTACCAAGTCCTCACAATGAATAAAGAAAAATTTGACCTGATTCCAGTAGGAGAAGGAACCATTATGAGATGTAAGGGCATCCTATTCTCAACAAAGCCTGCCTCAGAAGAAAGAAGCTACTATACTGGCACTTCATGTATTGGGAAGGGAAAAAACCAACTCCCATTGCTTAGCATCCTCCTGCCCACATAAGGTAGAGGAGAAAAATCAAGATGCACTAATTCATATCCCAGCAGCATAGACCATGAAAAGACTGAGAACCAATTATACTAATTAATACTAATACTAACACTTCTCTCTCCACCCTGGTAATGCATTACTAAAGGTTTATCTACTGTGGTTAATTTATGTAGTACATCATCTCCATCTATGAACAAAAACAACAACAAAAAAATACAAAGCATACTAAAAGGGGGAAAAGAATTTAAAGTCAAAACAAGCATCAGAGCCAGAGTCAAGACACTGAAAGAATGTTGGAATTATCAAATTAGTAAATTTTAAAATGATGACTAATATTCTATGCACATGAATAGAAAGTAGACATCATGTAAAAACAGATGAACAATTAAGTAGGCAGATGAATACTAAGAAAGAATGGAAAGCCAGGTGTAGTTGGCACATGCCTTTAATCCCAGCACTCAGGAGGCAGAGGCAGGCAGATCTCTGTGAGTTCAAGGCCAGCCTGGTCTACATAGTGAGTTCCAGGACAGCTGGGGCTACAGGGAGACCCTGTCTCAAAAAGACCAAAATAAATAAATAATAAATAAATAAATAAATAAATAAATGAAAGAAAGAATAGAAAGTAAATGCCAAAGATAGAAAAACACTGTAACAAAATTCAAGAATACCTTAACAGACAGGACATGTCTCAGGGAAGCATCTCTAAGCTTGAGGACATCACAACAGAAATTTCCCAAAACTGAAAAGTAAAGGAGTGAGGAGGAGAAAGAGAGGGAGAAGGAGAATGTTCAAGAATTGTGGGACAACTACAAATAGTTGTAGCATATGTGTGATAGAAACAGGTGAAAAAACAGATACAAGAACAGAAGAACATCTGAAGCAATAAGGAATAAAAAACATCCCAATTAATGTCATATAAGCCACAGGTCAGGAAGCTCACAAAACACAGACAGGATAAATTTCCCCCTAAACTATATTTAGGCATATTATATGCAAACTACAGAAAATCAAAGACAGGAAAAAAATATTGAAAGAAGCTGGTGGTGGGGGGTGGTTACAGCTTACTTAAAGATGAGCACAGAAAGAACGGGAGGGGGGGGAAGGACTACTCATGGCTCATTGACAAAGAAATTTTTATATTCCATTTTGTGAAGTAAATTTAAAATAGGATGGCTCTTTTGTGTCAGGAAGCTAAAAATTGAATAAGCTGGTTGTGGTGGCCCAAGACTTTTATTCCAACACTCAGGAGGCAGAGGCAGGCGGATTTCTGTGAGTTTGAGGCCAGCCTTGTCTACATAGTGAGTTCCAGGTCAGCTGGGGCTACAGGGAGACCCTGTCTCAAAAACATTAAAAAAATTATTTTTCAGAGGGAGAAATAAAGATAAGCAATTTGATGCCAGCAAATCCGTATTACAAGAAATGTTAAAAAATATTTTAGAAACAAGAAAAATTATACAACTTGGAAACTGAGCTCTATATAAAATATATTAAGTAAAGATAAAAATATTCTATTTTTCTTATTCTTGGGGCTGGAGAGATAGCTCAGTGGTTAAGAGCACTGGTTGTTCTTGTGAAAAACCCAGGTTTGAATCCCAGCACCTACATGGTGGCTAACAACTGTCCATAACTCCAGTTCCAAATAATCTGATGCCCTCTTCTGGCTTCCTTAGGCACTAACACAGGTGCACTTAGATATACAGGCATAACACTCATTAGAATAAAATAAAAAATACACTTGGGAGGCAGAGGCAGGCAGATCTTTGTGAGTTCGAGGCCAGCCTGGTCTACATAGTGATTTCTAGGACAGCTGGGGCTACAAGGAGATCCTGTCTCAAAAAGACAAAAAAAAGAAAAAGACAAAAAATAAATTTAAATTTTCAAAAAATTTTTTGATTCATTTAATGGATAACAGTATGTTCAAAATAATTGTAGATGGTTTATGACAACAGATAATTAATAGCCATTGTTAATCTGACATGATATAGAATTATCTAGGAAACAAGGCCTCTGGGCATGCCTTTGAGGGATTATCTAGATGAGGCTAGCCTCTATGAATGTCTGGGAGGGATTACCTAGATTAGGAAAACTGATGTGGAAAGACCCACCCTGAACACAGACAGCCCCATTCTTGGAGCTGGGGTCCTAGATTGCATAAAAAGGAGAAAGCAAGCTGAGCACAAGCATTATCAATTTCTGCTTCCTGAATGCAGATAGAACCCAACTATGTTGTCTACAACAAACTCACTTTAAATATGAAGACACATGGGGCTGGAGAGATGGCTCAGCAGTTAAGAACACTGGTTGTTCTTGCAGAAAACCCGGGTTCAAATCCCAGCACCCACACGGCAGCTAACAACTGTCCATAACTCCAGTTCCAGGGGACCCAAGAGCCTCTTCTGTCCTCCATGGGCAGTGCATGACACGGGTGCACTTACCTACATGCACGCAATACACACATACACATAAAATAAAAATAATAAATAAAAATTTAAAAAAATATGAAGACACATACAGGCTAAAAGGAAAAAAAAGTGAAGAAAGACATACTACTGCAACAGTAATAAAAATTAAAGATTACTGGGCTGGAGAGATGGCTCAGCAGTTAAGAGCACTGGCTGCTCTTGCAGAGTATCCAGGTTTGATTCCCAGCACACACAACAGCTAACAAACACCTGTAACTCTAGTTCCAGGGGATAAGACGGCCTTTTCTGACCTCCGCAGGCATCCACTTAAAATGCATGGGTCAAACAACATAATATCAAAACATATAAGGCAAAAACTAACAGAAACTACAGGAGTAATACATGATGACACTATAATAGTTGGGAGATTTTAATGCTTTTTTATCAGAAATGGGTAGATCCTGGAGGCAGAAAATGAATGAGGACTTAGTTGAGCTCAACACAGTAAATCAAATGGATTTATAATGGACATCTACAGTCTATTAAATCTACGTACCTTTCTCACATTCATCTGAAACATTCATCAAAACAGAGCACATTCTGAGTCATAAAATATACCTCACCAAGTTTAAAAGAAATTATTATCTGCTCAGACCACAACAAATTAAGTTATATAAAGAATAATTCATAATTAAGATTAACAGAAAGGTAACTGGAAAATTATCAAATATTTGAATATTGATATACTTCTAATTAACATGAATAAAACTTTAAAAACTGAAAAGAAATGTTTAAATATACTTTGAACTGGAGTTGGAGAGAGGGCCCAGCAGTTAAGATCACTGACTGTTCTTTCAGAGGACCCGGGTTTGGTTCCCAGAATCCACATGGTGGCTAACAATCATCCTTAACTCCAGTTCCAGGGGCTCTGACACCCTCTTCTGGACTATGCAGGCATTGCATATATGGATGTACTTACAAGCAGATGAAATACTTAGACACATAAAAAATAAAATAATTTAAAAATACTTTGATCTACATAAAAATGAAAGTACAGTTTATCAATATTTGTGGGTGCATGCCAGGTATGGTGGCACATGCCTTTAATTCCAGCACCAGGATATACAGGCAGGTGGATCGCTATGTAATAGAGGTCAGCCTGTCTGCATAGTGACTTCCAGGCTGGCTAGAGCTACAGGAAGATCTGTTTCAAAAAAAAACCAAAAAAACAACAAACCCCCAAACAGAAATTAGGGATGCAGTGAAGACTTCAAAGCACTGCTGCATGTTAGAATACATGATTTATACTCATATTCTAAATTTGTACTTTCAGAAACTATAAAAAGGAAATTAAATTATTAAGAGAAATAATAAAAATTAGAACAGCAATAAATAAAAATTAACAGAGAGTCAGATATGATGGCACATGCCTTTAATCCCAGCACTTGCGAGGCAGAAGCAGGTGGATCTCTGTGAGCTCTAGGCCAGCCTGATCTACATAGCAAGTTCCAGGCCAGCTGGGGCTACAGGGAAACGCTGTATCAAAAGAGAGAGAGAGAGAGAGAGAGAGAGAGAGAAGAGAGAGAGAGAGAGAGAGAGAGAGAGAGAGAGAGAGAGAGAAATCAACAAAATCTAAAGTTGGTTTTTTGAAAAGATAAACCAATTACTCTCTAGTCAAAGTAAGGGTAAGGAAAAAAGAGAAGACAGAAATTACTAAAGAAATGCTATGAATAATTCTATGTTCACAAATTTGGTAATCTAGTCAAATGAGCTAATTCTGAAAAAGGCATACTTTGACACAACTCACACTTAGTAATCTAAACAGATCTCAACCTAGTAAAGAGATTGAATCAATTATTAATAAACTTACAAGACAGAAAGCACCAATTCTAGACAAGTTCACTTGGTGAATTCTACCAGACATTTCATGAAAAAAAATTTATCAGTTCTTCACAATCTCTTCCAGAAGAATACTTCTCAGCTTATTCTATGAGGCCAGCGTTTAACCCCAATACCAAACAAGACAAACACAACAAAGGAAAACTACAGACTAATATCTTTCATGAATATAGGAGTAAAAATTACCAGTAAGTCATTAGAAGTTGAATTCAGCAATGCCTAAAAAGAACTATAAAGCATGATCAAGTGGGATTTCTCTATGGTATGGAAGCTAATCAAACATTTGAGACTTTATAAAAAAAATCTACAAGATACCTACAGCAGTGAAAATGCCCTGTATGATGGGGAACATAATTACACAGCTGTCTAATGTATCCCATCAGTAGTGAACCCTAATGTAAACTACTAATTCAGTGGTAATGATGGATCAATATAGATAGGTTCATCAACTGTAACAACTGTACCACTCTTGTATGGAAACTGATAACAGAAAGCCTATACATGGTGGGATGGGGGTGAACAGCATCATGGGATGGACAAAACATATAGGAAGCATATATATTGTTCAATTTTGCTATTAACCTAAAACTAATCTTAAAAATAAGGCTAGGGGGTATAGTATGAAGAAAATCCTGTGTTTGAACCCGTCTCCCCACCACACATACACAACAGAACTCAGAAATTTCCATTTCCAGAATGGCTGAGTAAGTGCCTATTCAATCTTACTGAAGCTGTAACCTGCTTATAAAATAATTAATACTATGGGCTGGGGAGATAGCTCAGGGGTTAAGAGTGTGTACTGCTCTTCCAGAGAAACCTAAGTTTGGTTCCAAGCATTCACAGTCTGGTGCAGCACATGGTTCTGGCCTCCACAGGCACCTGTACTCATGTATACAAACATCCCCTCAACACACACATGCACATAATTGAAAATAATAAAGACATTTAGTAGCAAATAGAACTGTAGGGAATAAATGAAATTACTTTCATGTTAACAGGTCTCATACTATTCAACAGATTCAAGACTTAAAAGTGAAATTTTAGGATGGGGATGATTTGTTATATTATAATTGATGTCAAGTTTTAGCCATATGGAAAAAACAGCAGGTAAAGTACAATCTATATTCCACCATGGACTGGGATTTTATTATTATTTTTTTAATTTATTATTTTTATTTTATGTGTGTAAGTGTATTGCCTGCATGTAAGTGCACCCTTGTCATGCAATGCCCACAAAGTCAGAAGAAGACGTCAGATCCCCTGGAACTGGAGTTAGGGACAGTTGTTAGCCTCCATGTGGGTGCTAGGAATTGAACCCAGGTCTTCTGTAAGAAGAGTCAGTGCTCCTAACCACCGAGTCACCTCTCCAGCCTGGATTGGGCTTTTATATCAGTTCTTCCCCTTCAGATTTTCTGTAGTAATTGCTAAAGGACGATGCTATCATTTATGATGTAATATGTATTACATTATGATGTAATACATATTAACTCAAAGAGTCATAGCCCACAGACTCAGTCAGGCTGAAAAGACCAAGTGGGTGTTCCCAATCAAAGCCACTAGAATAAGGAAGACTTAGTCATAAACTGTCAGAAATCTGAATAGAGATAATGATTTCAGAGAGGAGCAGCCAGTAGTAATTACTGCCCAGTACTCACAGTTGCAAAGCTATATATAAAATCTAGATAAGCTATATTTATTTCTGTATGATGAAAATCCAGGTCAGGCATATGTTGAGATTTTACAAAGGTCTAGGATAAAGGTGCTATTTCAATGAAGCCAGAACCCAGTCAATTAAATTTTTTTTAAAAAATTTATTATTTTTATTTTATGTGTACGAGTGCACTGCCTGCATGTATGAGTGCACTCATGTTGTGCAATGCCGGGGAGGTCAGAAGAGGGCACCAGATTCCCCTGGAACTGGAGTTAAGGACGGCTCTTATTCGCTTGTGGGTGCTAAGAATTGAACTCAGGCCCTCTCTAAGAGCAGTCAGTGCTCTTAACCGCTGAGCCATCTCTCCAGCCCTCAGTCAATTTTTAAGAGGGAAGTATGTAATAAAAATTAGAGCTTTGCTTTAAATGTCAAGTGTGTCTCCATTTCCCAGAAAACCTGTATTCTTGGTGGGTGTCTTCTAAACTAATATCCAGTGTTTCAGATGAGACCCTTCTCCCAAGACAAAGTTTAGTCAGAATCCTGGGATTCTCAGGGCACTGACAGCTACTCCATACATACTTCTACTCTCTCCCTCCTTTCAAAGACTTGGCAAACTGTGAGCAAGAGGACAAACCCACCAGAACTAGAACTGTCTTAACTACCTGAATGGATACCCATCTACTTCACAACTTTGATATCCCCTTTTATTGCTCAAAGACAAACAAATCTCAGGCTTAGGATAACAGTACCTATGGATTAGGCAGCAGGTTCTGAAGGACTTCCTATGGTTCTAAGCCTGCTCCATTTCCATTAAGCCTAGGCATGGTGGCATATGCCTTTAATTCCGTACCTGGGAGGCAGAAGCAGGCGGATTTCTGTGAGGTCAGGGCCAGCCTGGTCTACAAAGTGAGTTCCAGGCTACCTGGTGCTACAGAGAGACCCTGTCTTTAACAACAGCAACAAAAAGTAGCAGCAGCTATACTATAAACACTGCAGGAATGAATTACATGGTACTGCTACAGCAGTCCTTTCAGCAAAGCTGGGTCTGATTTTCATTGGATACAAGGATATGAGTCTAGACAAAAACAATGGCTAAGTCAAATGAGGTCTTCTGACCCTTTCTTGGGAAGTAGTATAGGCTTGAGTCAATGCAAACCCCATGTATTTTTAAAAAATATATTCCTTAGTCAGAAGCAAGTAAATCAGTTCTTACAAGACCCAGAAAAGCCCATATTCTAGACGGAGTTGAGACTAACTATATCAAATCATGGGTTTCAATTCCAATAAATGAAATCAACGTCAATATAAAACTAACATTAACATTCCCCACATTTTTGTTTTCTGATTCTCAACAGAGAAAGTTAGCAGCAGTCTCACAATGTAGATAATTCTCTCTGTGAGTCCTAATTCTTGGGCATGGCAGGAGACAAAACATTACTGGATGTTCATCACATCGCCCAAGATGACTAGAGCCATACACTTTAGAACACAGCAGAACAGAGATCATAGACCAGAAGACACATGTGGCTTCAAAAGGTACACAGGACTAAAAGTAGTGTTATAAGCACAAGGGAAGAGACAATAAGGAGTCAAAAGCACACTGTACACAGGGAGAAAGCAAGTCTAGGAACCCTGTATGCATCTGTCAATCAAGACACAGAGATATGCTGAAGCCACAAAGTGAGAAGTAGGAAAGAAACCTGGTGTCTGAAGGCATGTTTTTATTCAAGTTTTTAAAATCTGCACTTACCTGTGTGGCCATGGAGTGGGGAGTGTGGCCGTGGTAGTGTAGGTGATGTGCTAGAGGCCACAATCAAGCTTTTTCGGTTACTTGTCCGACAACTGCAATGAAAACAAAATGTCAGTTATAACTGGTCCAGAGACCTTGAGTAGAGGAACCATAGAGTGACACCATTCCCTGGGCTGACTGCTTTAAACCGAATTGATCAGCAATTATTACGTGAACCACTTAGATTTCATAACTCAGTATGATTTACCCAGGAATAACTTTTGATGCTGCCCTGATTTTGTCTTGATTTGTATTTTCCCAGTGTTTAACCTGAAGAAATATGGGAAGATCTCTAAAGGCAACAACCATGTTCAAAATTACAAACTTAATTTGGAAACTAAACACAAGTCAAAATATTATGTTACCTAGGCTGGTGGTAGAGTATCTGAGTTTAACTCTCAGCATAAACAAAACAGACCAAAAATTAACAAAAAAACCCCACACACTTTTATTTCACAAAATCAACCTTTTGTCATAAAAATGAAGCTTATTAATGTCATCTATTATTTTTAGAGCTATTTAATTTAAGTAACATTCTCACTTTGGAATGTCTTCTGTAAAACTCACTTTCTTTTTAAGTTAATGACAGGCTTTTTTCCTGTAGTCAGAGAAAACCAGATTATGAAAAACTAATTCAGACCACATCTGTTACTAAAAAGAAGGTCTAAGTTTATCTGAAGTGGGCCTATCAATTGAAGATACCAGAAAGAAGATTTATAAAGACATTGGGGGAAAAAAACCAAGCAAACAAAGAAAAAGACATTATGGAAGTTTGCCATTTATAGCAATCCAAATAAATGTTTACTGAACAGAATGCCTCTTACATACTAGGCACTGTTCCAGGTTCCAGGGAGGCAGGAGGAAGTAAGAAAAAGTCTGTCTTTGAAATTGGAGTGAGCCACTAGTGGTACAGAAAAAGATAGAACAGAGGAAGAGGGGCAGGAAACGGAGAAAAGAGGAGAAAGAGAAAGGAAAGTGAGGGTGTACTGGGAGTAGAAGCAGCTCAACCCAGCAACGCTCAACTCCGGAGAAGACATCTGATCAGCAGTCTGAATGTTATTAAAGACAAAGATATAAGAAGATCCCAGAGAAAGGTAAAGGTACGGAGATGGTGTGGTAGCTCATGCATATAACCCCAGAGGCTAACTTGGGAGGTTAAGTCAGGAGAAACCTGAGTTTAAAGCCAGCCTGAGCTATACAGGGAGGGAGGAAGGAAGGAAGAGAGAGAAGGAGAGGAGGAGGAAGAAAATACAGAGAGAAGGGAGAAAATAAGGTCAAAGAAGTCAATAGCGAGTGACAAGAGAAAATGATATAAAAAAGATGTAGGTCATAAAAACTAGGGTGTAGGTCACAGCCAGATCTTGTAGGGCTGGTAGACTACCAATAGGAAGTATAGAAACGTAGTAAGCTACCAGAAGAATTAAAGAGATTTTGATTAGAATCATTATCTTATCCTTTCCCTAAGAAGCTACCAGGAGGACCACATCTCTGTCTTAGTTATCATCAAATGTGCAAGCCTCCCAATAACTTGAGATAGTCTCACCACTCTTGAAACTTTCAGATGGGCTAACGCTGTAAATCCTTGAACGGTGTTATCAGCAAATACCCTAAGTTTCAATATTTTTTGAAAATGTTTTGAATTCTAGTTGTAAGTTAAAATTTTCCTTCTTTTCCTAAGAACACAGCTATTTTATTTATTGCTGGATTTCAGACAGACAGACAGACAGATAGGAGAAAGAAAAGAAAAGAAAAGAAAAGAAAAGGAAAGAAAGAAAGAAAGAAAGAAAGAAAGAAAGAAAGAAAGAAAGAAAGAAAGAAAGTAAGTACCTGGTAAAATCCCAACCCCCTGAAACTCGGTTTTCCAAAGCTGAATTGTACCTCAGTGTAGTAGAGCTCTTGCTTCAAATCCCCAGTAACTGTAAAAACCCAAGAAAACAAAACACAAACTCCAAACTTTCTACTTATTTCATAACTACCCAGGGACTGAGAGTGGCTGATGAAAAACCAAGAATCCCGTGGGTAGATATCTCTTTATATTTAAATTGACAAGAATTAGTTTGATCCTTGCTACCATGTGCAGACCTGACCAGATTTACCTAATATGCTCAGATTCTTGTCAAGAAAATAATTCACATATTCTCCTTCCTTAAACCAATCACATTTTCCATTATTTTGCTACTTCTGCTTTTTATTGAACAAATGATACAATTAGCAGAACAACTCAGCATGTGTTAACTATCTCTTTTGCTGTGCCAAAGCTTTCAAGTTTGAGGTATTTCCATTTCTTTTGTTTCTGAGGTAGTGGAGCTTTTGGTGTGGTATCTAAAAAATTATTAACAGCCAGAAGCAAGAAGATTACAAGTTAGAGGCCAGAATGGGCTCACAGCAACATCTAATCCAGACTGGACTATATAGCAAGACCCTTCCTGGGGCTGGAAAGATGGCTCAGAAGTTAAGAGTGCTTGCTATTCTTGCAGAGGACCCAAATTCGGTTCCCAGCACCCACACAGAGTGGCTTGCAAACCATCTGTAACTGAAGCTCCAAGGAGATCAAATGCCTTCTTCTGGCCTCTGCACACTGGTAGCATTATACACATACTCATACACATACAAATAAATAAATAAATAAATAAATAAGAATAAAAAAGTCCCTTCCTCAAAAATACACCACCCCCACACACACAGTTAAATGAGACTCTTCGGACAAAGGTAAGTGATACCACATGCAAATCTGGATGACTACAAAGAGAAGCCAATAGACATGTGCGTAAATATAAATCTCATTCTTATTCTTAGAATCCTTTTAAAGGACAACTGGTTTTTAAAGGAAATACAGTTTATCTTAGGGTTCATTGCATCAAGGCTAGAGGGAAGGAATGGAGATACGCTGTTTCAAAGCTCTTATATTAAATGTGACATGGTATGGGGGAAAGCTGTGACAAGTTGTAGTTTTATTATACTATAAATTAACACTAACAGTGAGTGATAAATACTAGTGGATACTATAATATCCACTAACAGTGAGTGATAAATCACATTACACAAACCATTCCCAACCAGTGGAAGATTACTTGGCAATAGCAAGTAATTATTGTTGATTCACACAATGGATAAATCTGAAAACTAACATCACTACATCAAGGTCTTTGCAACTGACTTTGCAATGTCTACAGTGTTTTACCCAGCGAGCATAAGAGCTTGCTACTTTACCCACTTCAGGTCTTGGCTCAATATATTCTCAGTGAATTTCTCCCTGAGCATTTCATTTAAAATTGTACTCTTTTCAAGCTTTCTACTCCCTCTCCTGATATTATCTATTGTATTAAATATTTTATACAACCATTTTGTTGTCTTCTCATTAGAATCTGAGCTTGAAATGGACCGTGACTCTGCTTTGCTTTGCTTACTGAATGTTCCTTAAGGCCTAGAACATGGCCTGGTATGGTAGGCTCTCAATAAATGTTTGTTAAATGTGTGTGATTTGGCATAAAATTAAAATAAAGAAAATATATGTATACCTGGTACATGTAAATCAAACTATTATATTTAAACTTACTGTGTATGGCCACGCATGGTAGCGCACACCTTTAATTCCAGCACTCGGGAGGCAGAGAAGGTGAATCTCTATGCATTGAAGATGGCCCTGGTCTACACAGAGTTCCAGCTAGCCAGGGCTACATAGTGAGACCCTGTTTCAAACAACAAACCTTTGTATGAAAGCAAAAAATCCCTCAAAACTTAAGTTATCAGTAACTGATTCTAACTTCATTAGCTTCTTTAACATTTAAAATAAAATACAAAACACTAAAGATCATATTTCAAAACCACATGCCTTTATATAAAGGTACACATAATCTCACTTGGCAAATCCATAACAGCTGCCAGGAGGAGAAGGAAGGTCAGACACTCTGGTACACATGCCATGACTCAGATCAGCTGAGATCCAGAACAAGGAACTGTTTCTCTTTCAACAGGCTCTAGTTAATTCTCTGGAATTATAGGAGGATGATAAAGACTTCATTCTTTTCATCTCAATGAGAAAATGGTACAGGAGAGTCAGAAATAGCAATTCAGATGATGGGAAGTACTCTGAAGGCTCTGAGTTGATGCTCTGATGCTAACTACAAGAATTGGGTCAGTCAGAATGAGGCCTGGCATTTCATCCTACATGTCTTAGTATGGTGATTTCAGTGGACAGTGGCGCAGGGTCTCAGGTACACTGTGCAATCTCTGAAACACTGGTGAAATGTGGCTGTTTTTGGAGGACAGCTGGTTCTTGGCCTTTGAATATCCCTCCTTCCGGTAACCAATAGGCACTCAGAAACCTGACCCTTGCAAAACCTGCCTTAAATTTACTTAGGAAGGGCTAGAGAGATGGCTTAGTGGTTAAGAGCACTGATTATTCTTGTAGATGAGCTGGGTTCGAATTCTAGCACTCACATGGTGGCTAACAACTGTCCTTAACTCCAGTTACTGGGGATCCAGTGCCCTCTTCTATCCTCCTTGGGCACTGCATGACATGAGTGCACTTACACACATGCAGGCATAACATTCATATATATAAAATAAATTTTTTCCCAGTTAATTATTTATTTAATAACCACATACTTAGAAGAAGCATTTCATTACAACAGCATTGACATATTCAATAACAATTTTCTGAGCTAAGATGCATCTTTTTCAGAATTGGCTATAAATTTTTAGGTTTACAGTTGAATTATTACAGTTATACAATATTGTACTC